ACATGAGAACCGTTCAAAACTTCAAAACATTCCCAAAAGTTTAGATAGCTAAAGAATTAGGCTCGAACTTCCTAAAGCCTAGAGAAAAACCTGCGGACGTTTATTGGGAATTGGATGTAATAAGAGCTTACAAGTATTTTTTTTATACTCACTCCATTCTACATTTCTTTTTTTGGTGTTTGCTGAGTGTCGGTTGGGATGAGAGAACCTTCTAGAGTTGAGTAGTCACGCAATTAAAGAAAAATCCAACCCAAGTACGTGAATAATTGGTAATTAAAATAAAATAAAAATAACAAAAAATAATTGAGTATGTATGAAGACTTTAGCAATGATTAATTTTGAAAATTAAAAAAAAAAAAGTTGATTAAAAAGTTTATATTATAGCAAAAATAAGGCCTTCCTTATGTGACATGAAATGATTAGAAGTTTGGTAGGCGATATTCCCAACGCACCTAAGCCTACTTACTCTTTACTCATATTGTTTTGTACGGCCCAATATTTGCTTATAAAACTTTATATTAAAATTCCCTTTTTGGTTGTTTCCTTTCATTTTCCACAATATAATCAACATTCTTTTTTTAATATATGGTCTCCATTCCATTAACTTTATATTTATAACATACAGAAATATGTCTTTTTTTGGACTTTCTCTTTCTCTTTTGGGACCCTCAATCCACCCCTTTGCACTTTAATATCAGACACTTGTTTCTTTCTCTAATTGATGTAGGACCCCATAATCCATCCCAACGTCTTTACTCACACATCACATAGTGTCTGGCTCTAGTACCATTTGTAATAGCCCAAACCCGTCGCTAGTAGGTATTTTCGTTTTTGAGCTTTTCATTTTGGAGTTTCTCTCAAAGTTTTTAAAACGTGCATGACAGAGGGAGGTTTTCGCACCCTCGTAAAAAAAAAAATGGGATCTTACCTTTAAACAGCAATCACACATGTTAGATCCATATTTTTTGGAGTTACAAATTTAAATTTTGAACTAATGGCCCAAAAAAATGAGAAAAGAGAGCCAATAAAAAGAGGTGTGGCCCCACGCACGTGAAAGGTTTCAACAAGTAAATTAGATGACGAACTTGGCTATGAATATCCCTTCACTTTCATCGCAATGAACAAAAAAATTTAATTGAAAAAAAAAAACCTTGTACCTTTTAAAATAATTATGGACAACTATGTTAAAAAAAATATTAAATTTATAAAAGTACACCTAATTTTTTCATAATCGAAGAAAACGATTATTATGTTTATTATAATGCTACGATAGTCGCTATATCTAACGGGTATTCGACATCAACAACTCTAGAAAATGTTCGTCGATAAAGAAAGGGGCCCAGGAGGTGTGCAAACCGACAGGTGAACTCCTACTCACAAGTGTGGGTCATGAGTAGAATAGTAAATACACATTCAATTACCTGTTTAAGATAGTCACCTAAAGGAATATAGACTTAAAGAATAGGTCTCATTCATGATTGATGTGTTTGCATCTAACCTCAATAGTTGGGTCACTTAAATGAGTATTTCTTGAAACACTCAAGCCACGTGCTACTTCTATTTTAGGTAAAAGCAAGACATTTATGTACGCTGACGACGACATCGTAAGTCGAGACCATAACACGTAAGTCTATGACAATGTTTTATCTTACGTTGTCATAAGTCTATGATAGTGTTTTATCTTGAAGTTTCAAATTATTATTTCTACACAAATGAGTATGTTAAGTATACAGTAGCAACTTTAGATTATTAGAAATCTAGGGTCGTTACAATAATTCTCTCTAAACTTAGCACAACATGTCGTATAATACATCTTTACTTCTCTCGGACAAAAGCCCGTTCTAACTCACAGTAGGTCATAGTCGTGTAGCTAACTCGATCGTTAAAGTGACTTTAAACAAACATCACACATTGAGGATCAAATTTTTTGACGTTAGGGAAAGGAAACAAAAGGAGGCGATTAGGGGCCAGTAGTGTCTAGGAGTGAGCAGGCAAGTGAACCCAAATCCAATCTTAAAAATGCCCCCATGAGCTCTAAATCTCCAACTCTCTATTCCCATAGCATTGGCCATTGGGGAGGCCCAACCTATGGTGTGGTGAGCGTGTGGGGTGGTGGGGATAGGGGTGACCTTCTCTTATCATTCCACTCTCATTTCATGTGCTCTTGCTGTTCTTTGCCTCTTTCCACCTTTTCTCTCTCTCTCTTTCTTGCTACCGCTACCGACGATCCTTGTCGTTTTCTTCGTTTGGATTTAAATCGAGATACAGTTTAGTTTATAAACTTTGACGAATGGGTTATGTAACGGGTGGTATTTGAATGGTTTTTTGCTTGCAAGCATACATTTTTTTTAGACTCAATTCACTTTTTCGCTATATGGATGAAGAGTTCATTCCTTTCAATCGGTACAAGAGCTAGAGACATGGTGTGTCAGCGAAGACGCTGGCTCCCAAGGGGTGAATTGTGAGATCACACATGAGTCGGAAAGAGAAACAAAACATTTCTTATTAGTTAAAACCTTCAGATAAACCGGTTGTAAAAAATTTTAACTTAAACAACCTTGTTTAAATAATGAACTTAATCCATTCCAACACAATTTTTTGGGTTAGGTTGGTTTGAAGTCATTTATTCAATTTTGTTTAATAAAAGTAAAAGTATTCATTTTCAAAAATTATTTTTAAGATTTGTTGGAAAATAAATAATAAAAAATAAATATATTATTTAAAATTAATTGATGAATTGGGATAATCATGATTTCATTCGGTTGTTTGTGAAACTTACATTAAATTTGTTTGTGGCTCGTAATCATAATCTATAACTTTATTATTTTGAGTCACGTGATTAAGAGGTTAGATTAGGAAAATAAAAATAATAAATAATATTTTAAAAAAATCTTATAATTTGCATATATTATACTAGTTTTTAAAAATATATTATACTAATTTTATTTTTTATTTTCATGGTGTAATTGGGAGATTCTATTACAGATTAATAAACCACATTTGTTTCATCAAACAAAAACAGTTTGATGTGTTGGAATTTGTAATTATGAGTTGGTTGATTGCTCCTCAATCCTTTCCATTATATTCTTCATCTTTTGAGAGGACAAGAGAATGAGCAAATACACCGTCTCCAATAAAGTAAAGCATCATCATTCATTCTTTCAAGCCTTCATTTCTCGATTCTTCACTTCTAGATTCTTTTCATTCTTGTTTGGAATAGTTCTTGTGTGAATAGATTGAAAATATCTGTTTTTTTATTAAAAAATGTTTCCACTGTTCAATTAGTTGAGTCACCGTTGAGTTGGTGACTCTGTACAATCCAACTCAACTCTCTATCTTTTGACTGAATTAGGTTATGGTTACCGCTACATTACCCTATTTTTGAGTTGGACCCATAATTTTTAGTTTTTAAAAAATCTAACTCGAGGTAATGGTAGGTTGGTTCGTGACATTCTCACATTATTTGAATAGTTTTTTCTTTATTATTTTGTTCTCTATCTTAATTTAATATCAATTCTCGTGGGTTGAAACATTACAAATTCCTTTTACTCTCAAATATTTTTGTCAAATGTTTGAAGTTAAATGGTGGGTATGAGAAAATTTAACATCAATCATATTTGCTATTACATCAAATAACCAAATTAGTGATATAACTTTTAAAAGTAAGAAAAAATTGATTATCGTGTTCGATAGCTTCACCTCCTCTAAAATTAAAGAAAAAAAGGTATATTTTATTCTTTAAATACGAATCATATCTAAAATATATGGTATATTACGAAGAATATTTTTATTTATTTTTAATTATAATTAATTAAAGGTAAAGAATAATAATGAGACGATAAGATGAAATGGGATGTATTAAGAAATGATGAGCATTTCTAAATTTTAAAATAAGAGAATTTTATTATGTATTAATATTATTTGGTATGTTACACTCAAATAATTGAAATTTCAACTAAGATGCAATTTTTTTCTTTCCCTTTATTGCTTTGAAATGATTGATACAATGCCTTTTTCTTCGGTAACGTTACCATTTTAACTCATATTTTCTCTTACATTTTCGTTTTGTAATTTAGTTCCATCTATCTGGACCCATCTTAGATGGAGTACAAAACTAGAGAGTGGAAAGAGATTTCTCTCCGTTAGATAAAAAATGAGGATTATATTTTCAATCCCTACATCCCGTCTCATATATATATTATGGTAGAAAATTATTTTTCGAGAACCAAAATGAATTAACTATAAATTACCATTAGTTCGATTTTATCAAGGAACATGGTGTGCAATATCGACACGAGATTGATTGATATAGATCACATGCTCAACCACATCATAAATCTTTTTATTTTCTCTTTTCTAATAAATAAATCATAAATCATTAATTTCGGTTAGCCAAAATAAATAATAATAATAGTAATTAATTAATGAAGAAAAAAAAAAAAAAAACGGCAAAGGCAAACGCGGTGTTATGTCCGGATTCGAAACCTGAAATGACCATTTTATCCCCCACGTGTTCCCTCACCAAATGCCCTCTCCTCTCCCGAGTCCATGACAGTCATTTTCAACGCAAGTCCTTCTCCGGACCCACACATTAAAAAAGAAAAAAAAAATTAAATTAAATATATCAAAATACCTCTAATTTTTATTTAAATAAAATTTAATTAACCTAAAAAAAATTAGTAACATTTTTTTAATAAATCTTCTACTCTACATACATGTGGCTAATACCCTAAAAAAAAATTTAATTTTTTATAAACAATTTTTTAAATATTTTTTATGATTAAGATTTTCAATTGCTTAAATAAATATTTGACTTATTCGATATTTTTTTCAAAATTCCAAACAGAAATTATAATTTAGGGAGAAAAAGAAAAAAAGGAAAGAAAACGACCCACTGAAATCCCACTCCATTGGTCATTTCCATCACCCTCACCGCACGACATGTGAGGTTATCACCGCCCACCTCTCCGTCCTCCCTATATCTTAAATCAAATTCCCATTTCTGCAAGACCAAGAAGCAAAAGAACCCCCTTCTGCAAAATCAACAGAAACCCATTTGTAAATTTGTCCATTTTCCGACCCGACCAGATGGGTTTTCCGGTGGGTTGCACGGAGGTTTTCTTCCCCACAATATTCCTCCATTTACTCTCTCTCCTCGACTTACTCAAACGCCTAATTCTGTACCTGTTCCGCCTCCTCGGCCTCCCGGAATTTCTCCACTCCGACGCCGCCGTCTCGCCGGAGGTTGGGTTTCCCTTGAACCCACCAGCCTCCGCCGTGCTCCTCCGCGAATTCCTCCCCGTAGTGAAATTCTCGGATGTCCCCCAGGCGGCGGCAGAGAGCTGCGCCGTATGCCTATACGAGTTCGAGGGAGCAGAGGAGATCCGGTGGCTGACCAACTGCAAGCACATATTCCATAGAGGGTGTGTGGACCGTTGGATGGATCATGATCAGAAGACATGTCCGCTTTGTAGAACGCCGTTCGTGCCTGACGGGATGATGGATGAGTTCAATCAACGGCTCTGGGCCGCCTCTGGAATTGCTGAGTTTGATTCTGAGTTCAACTCGGTTTTAGGTTAGTGCAGCAAAAAAAAAAAAAAAAAAAAAAAAAAAAAAAAAAAAAAAAAAAAAAA